GGTAATTTATCACGTCTCCATTGTTTATTTCTGTTCGCATCTCCCTTTTTCCGTATCATTCACAGTTGTGAATTATATGGTGATACTGATAGTCGTATAACATTATTCTCTATTAGATCATTTACTTGTTTGTTAATCTTGTTTTTGTGTATGGGAGAAAAACGACACCAACGCACGGCGACAATCGAGTCGATGGTCTCGATATTATGCGTAATGGTAAATAGTTATATACGTCAGTTTGTCTCTCAGTAGATGAAATAAGTCTAATGAAATAAATCTAATTAATCATTTCTTCGGCTATCGTTCTTTCTTCGTAATTTAATGAATCTATTTTTATGCATTGGAGAACTTTTTCATAACATTCGTTAGTTTCTTTGAAGATTCCCTTACATGACTGAATAGAGTTTGGAAAGTGTGAATGTGAATTGTTAGAAGGAGGATAAGGAATTATGGCTTAAATGTGGGAGTTGATTTGTTGCTTTGATAACATGTGAGGGGAAAATAAGGAATTGGAGCGATTCTGTCCACTGATTCAAGATCTTTGTCTTCGAATCCGTGTGGCTCGATGAAATTCGATGACATTCGGTCGCGCTCTTATCATGTCTTATGGTTGACAAGGAACGCATGTTGGCTGTCTCCAATTCCTTCAGCTCGATCGTTGGAATTATTACCTTTATTCCTTTTTCGCTTGTATTGAATACTCTAATAAATGTTTCTCCGGCAAACTAACAAAGTAGCAAAAATCTGATCCAAAGATACCGCAATGTGAGATGGAGAAAGAGTTAGGAACAAAGTAAAATTCCATAGACGTTGATGATGTAAAAACCATATGTAGTGATTCTCCCGTGAACTCTTCCTAAGCGCCAGACAACCCTTAGCTTATCGAATCTAGACTTCTACTTTTACTATTTATTTATTGGCTGGGTTGACATATTATCGAAACCCAGAGTTTACTAAGAATGTCTAAGCCCAAACAAAAGTTGCCATGTGCTTTTTATCTATGCGTTTTATTTAGCAAATAGTCGATAACTATTTCCAATTATTAGTCGATTAACTATTTCCAAGGATAACTGTTTCCAATGCTGCTATATGATCCTTAAGAGAAAGTACCGTGAACGATGGAGAGACGCACGTGTACGTCAACATATATATATGATATCACATCTTTATTGTATATTTCTATTCCATGTAAGTTGCACTTATAGTATTATAGAATTAAAATATTGCAAAAATACCTCAAAAAATCCAGCATTTAATTTATAAGATACTATTACTTCACATTTCACTCCATTTACGCGAAGTACCTATTCGCGGCTGTAGGACGTAAATTTGGAACATAGATTTTGCAATATTGACAGTGAGCTTTTGATTTTCTTTACTGATATTGGATTGATCACTTACTATACATAAAAACTAAATATCAATCTTCGCTGAAGAATTGATTTTATTTCATCGGGCTGTGGGATTGAAATTTGTTGAGTTTGACAGTTAAGAATTCATAGAATCAGTTTTCGATTAAAATAAGGAAATAATCTAAAAAAAAAAAAAACATATATTGCAAGAATTGATAGGAAATCAATCATTTTACATACACAACATTATTTCTTTACGTTTCACTTCGTATGTTATGTCTCGGAACGTATGAGGCTTGGTGTTTCATGAGGAGCTTCTATCTTACGGGATTTGTATCTATTCCAGCTTTTTCCTGCTATGTGCAATTATGGCATGGGACTGGTTACTAGCAGAATGTCGATCGGGTAAAACAAACCAAAGTGTTAACTTTTTACTTCAGTCCAACTGAATGATTTCGAGTTTCTTGTAATGCTCTGTAGATTTCTCTTCTGGTAATTCTCCCAAAACATCGCGTCTTGTTTTAAGCATAAGAATAAGGAAGAGTCTTCAAACGTAAAGATTGGAAACCACAGAGATACAGTCCGGCTGTACCTGTAGCGACTGATAGAGATTGGGGTTTAAGAGATTGATCGAAATTATAAAAAAATATATATATATATATATAATATCTCGGATTGATTATGGGAGATGATAAACGAAAATATGTTTCTCTGTGAACAAAGAGATAAATCTTTATTTGTTAATTAATGCTTAGTTTCTGATTAGTCTTACCTGTGAACAAAGAAACGACAATTATGTTTATTATTCACACTGTTAAATTTTATTTCTATTATATTATGAATCTTCTTCTAGCTCTCGTGTTGCTTTTCTCTTCTATGTTATATTTCCTACTGCCCGTTTCCCTTCCAAATCTTAACGGCTCGATTTGTAGGTAACAAAAGAATTTCTAGATAACAAAAGACAATGGAAGGGCGGGCCATGAGAAGCGCGGCAAATCTACCTGAAGAAAGTATACTTTCTTTACATCTCCCCCCCGTCCCGGATAAAATATCTACAATTTTTAGTCCTCGTCCCCATCTTCTGATATTGGAAGTAATTTTGTTATGTGGAAGATGTCCAGTTTCTTGTTTTCGTTTTCCTGTTTTTATTTTGTATATAGATTCTGATATTTTTTTTATTATTTGGAAAGGACCAATTCTCAATTCATCCAATTTCTTTCTATTCAACCTATTGCCATCTTCTATATACACCAGATCTCCTGTTTTAAACCGGTGATTCTTTCTATTCTTGTTAAATATCTTTTTGTTATATTTGTGTGATTTTTTTGTTCTTTCTAGAGCTAGTTTTTTATCTCTTATCCAATTTTCTTGACTGTTTTTTCTTTTTATTTCTTCGAGTAAAATGCTGGTGTTTGTGCCATCTAACAAATACTTAGGCGTAAAGCCGGTTACTGTATACTCTGTTTCATTATATTTATCCAAACATTCTTTAGCGATCGTTGTCCAAGCTCTTTTTTTTCTTTTCTCATTTATCCTGCATCTTATTTTGTTTACTAGGGTGTCTGACTTAGTCTCTCGTTCAGACCGTTGGAGAAGGGCGCATTGACAGCCGTAAAAATTAGTTTAGTGTCATTTTTTATTAGGAATTCCTTAAATTCTCTTGAGTTTATTCCCGGGTATTGATCTGCGAGTATTACTCCTACTTTGTCGGTTTCTAGTACTTTATTTACTAGTTTGATGAAATCCGTTGTACTCTGGGCTTTTGATGCTTTCATAAACGCGTATCTTGTAAAATAGTCCACCAGCAGGTGGAGGTATCTTTTCGTCGATATTTATCCTTCGAAGCCCCCAATGGTATTTATTAACATGATTTCGAACGGTTTCGTTGCCGGTCCTAGTTGTGACATCAGTCCATATTTTCCTTTCCCTCTGGATTTGTTTTTAATACATATTTCACAGTTCTAGCAAACTTTTTTTATATTTGCAGTTATACCTTTAGCTGTATAATAAGAAGATATCCTGTTTGTCATTTGTTTGATCCCTATATGACACCATTCAGAATGTATTTCTTTAATTAATTTTAAGCTTAGTTCCGTAGATAAGATTATCTTTTCTTTGTTTCTAATTATTTTTATAGAATACTCCGTCTTTTTCTTAGTTTTGTTTTGGTTCTCTGCAGTGTTTTATTTTCTTTTTGATCTGTTTTTATCTCTTTTATTTTTATTAAATTAACTATTTTTAGTATTTCTCCCGTATTTTCCGATGGTTCCAGTACTGGATTTCTACTTAGACTATCTGCTTCAGTGTTATCTTTTCCTAGAATATATTTTATTTGAAAATCATATTGTGACAAATACTACGTTAATTCTCCAAGTTCCTCATCTGTTCTAGCTTTTATGTTCATATCTTTTAATGGTTTATGGTCTGTGAAATCGTGAACTTTCTTCCGATCAGCCAATGTTGCCAATACTTTACCGCTTCCTTGATTGCCAGGCATTCTAAGTAAATTGCTTTTTTTCTCTTTTGTTAATCATTTAGTTTTTTCGAAAAGTATGCTACTGGCTTTTCTTTACCATCACTCTATATCTGTTTAAATATTGCACCAATGCCTTCCAGTGATGCATCCGTGTAAATTCTTATCGGTAAATTTTTATCAAATATTTGCAACGCTGGTTAAGAACATAATAATTATTTTATATTTGTGAAAGTTTTTGCACACTCTTCAGACCATATAAACTTTTCATTTTTTCTTAACAGTTTATGTAATGGGTCTAGCAGTATTGAGCTTTTCGGTATGTATTCGTGGTAAAAATTTATTTTTCCAAGAAACTGTCTAATATTCTTTTGAGTTTTTGGAGTGGGAAAATTTTGTATTGAGATTAGATTATCTTTTACTGGTCTTATTGTATTGTGCTCTATTATGTGTCCGAGATATTTCACTGATTCTGTTGCAAATGTACATTTTTTAAATTTTAGTCTGAAACTTTCGTTTACTATTGCCTTTATTACTCTTTCTATGTGTTCTATATATTCTTCGAATGATACTGAAAAAACTAATATGTCGTCTATGTAATTCTCTGAAAAATCTTTTAATTTGTGCTTTCTTAGAATATTAGATAGTATTCTCTGGAAAATGGCTGGTAATGTTTTTAATCCGAACGGTAGACATGTCCATTGGAAGAGCCCCTCTTGTGTAACGAATTCTGTTTTTTGTCTATCTTCAATACGTAATGGAATTGACCAGAAAGCGAAATTTATATCTAATGTGGTGAAGTATTTACAGTTTCTTGCTTTTAGTATTAAATCTTCTATTAATGGGAATGGTTGAGTTTGTGGTGTAACTATCTTGTTTAATTCGCGGAAATCTATACACAATCGTGATCGTTTGTTTTCATCTCTTTTGAATGCTAGAGTTACTGGTGCTGCAAACGGACTATAAGATTCTTCAATTAATTTATTTTCTAATAGTTTTGCCACCTGACTTTCCATCTCCTTTTTATCCTCTATAATGCATCTATATGGTCTCTTACTGCAATATTTATCAACCAGTAAGTCTATTCGAGCTTCGTAGTCCGAAACGGTGCCTATATCATCTTTGTTTTTTGCAAGTATAAAATTATACTTTTCTATAAGTTTTTTTGATCCTTGTTTTTTTTTGTATTGTCCAAGTGATTCAGATTCAATCTAAATTCGTCTTCATTCATATGTTCGTTAAAATTTATTTTAACTTCTTTTATTTCTTTCTTTCTATCCAATGTATTTATATATTTTTTTGTTTGTATTTCTCTCTTTTGAGATATCTATAAGTTTTCATCCTGAGTTAGTTTGAATTTCTTTATCATATCTAACCCAATAATGAGATCTTCAAAGTCATTTCTTTCTACAATAAATACATCAACGTATTCCTCTTTATCGAAAATTTTTACTTTAATGGTTACTAAATCTTTTGTTTGTTTCACATCATTGACCGTCTTTAAAAATATTTTATTTTTATCTTTTGTCTCTTTTTTTTTTATTTTAATTAGTCTCGAATTTATTAGAGAGACTTGGGAGCCTGGGTCATATGTTCCGTTTACTTCTAACTTCTCTTCTAATACTATCTTTACTTTGATCAATGGTGTGGTTATTCGTTTTTTTTTGTTCATTGCATAGGTACACTTCTATCATCGAATTGCTTCCATTTATTCTAGTTTCCTTTCTATTTTCCTTTTTGAACCAACAGGAGTCCTCTGAATGATATCTAATGCCTTTGTTTAGTTCTTCACAATTCTTACACGATTTCTTTTCTTCAAATTTCTTTTTTGTAAAACTGTTCTTATTGACTAGATTTTCACATTTTTGTATTTCTTGTAGTAATTCTGTTGAGTTTTGACTATTTTCTCTGTCTATTTTATCTCTTATGAATTCTGGTAATCCTGCTGCTATGAGCATTATCAGAGTCTTTGTACCGATATTGTTGTCCACATCTAGTAATAGTTTTTCTTTCCTTATAGCGTATTCGATTAGTGAACCTTCTTTATATCTGTAGGATATAGCGTATGTACTTGTACTCCATCCCATGTCTGCAAATGATTTCAAGAATCTCTGTATCCATTCGTTCCAACCAGCCTCTATTGTCAACGCTGTTAGTGTTGCTGAGTGCCAGTCTAAACATGCCCTGTCAAGGAATAATCTTAGAATTTCAATTTTTGTGTTATCTTCTTTAATTTCGAATCTTTGACATTCTTTTTCAAATGTCTCCAACCATTGTTCTGCATTTGAGGGTCTACATCCAAATTTTTCGATCATGAATTTTTCCAATATACCCTTTAAATCTATTTGGTATTCTTTCTTCTGTATGGGTTCTATTATGTTTGTTTCTACTATTTCTTCTAGATATTGATTATTAAACATTATATTGCCATTTTCATCAAAATACGTACTGTCCATTTCCCGTGTGTATTTAATCTATATTTTTCTTTTTTGGTCTCTTTGATTGAGGCTTTTTTCCATTCTCTTATAGCTTTTTGTTTTTGTTAGTTCGCTGTGGTTACTTACAAATTTTTCATTTTCTGGCAACATATATTTTTCATTGTCCTCAGTTGTGATAGAGGTTATGGCAATCACGTCTGTCTTTTTGTCGCTCGGTGATGCCACACGTTTAAATGCGAATTGTAGTTTTCTTCCCATTATAAACCAAAAATTGTCGTTTTATAATATCTCGGATTGATTATGTGAGATGATAAACGAAAATATGTTTCTCCGTGAACAAAGGAATAAATCTTTATTTGTTAATTAATACTTATTTGCTAATTAGTCTTACCTGTGAACAAAGAAACGACAATTTACGTTTATTATTCACAGTATTTAAATTTTATTTAATTTATATTATCTAGTATAAATTTCCTTATAAACTCTCGTGCTACTTCTTTCTTCTACGTTCTATTTCCTACTGTCCATTTCTCTTCCAAATCTTAACGGCTCGACTTGTAGGTAACAAAAGAATTTGTAAATAACAAAGGATAATGGATGGGCGGGCCATGAGAAGCGCGGCAAATCTACCTGAAGAAAGTATACTTTCTTTAGATATATGTATATATATAAAATGTGATTTTGTACAGATGAATTTTACGGAGAACTAATTAGGAAATATGCCCAATTGGATTTAAGTTAAGAGGTAGTAGATTTAAGAGAACGCGGTTTTAGATTTGAGACTACCCTGATTGAATTAATAACTGAGCGTAATTTTTAATACAGTACCTTTTATCGTGATTAAGCGTAATTAGATTAAAATTTAGAATTTGAAAGAAATTACTGTTTATCGAATGTTACTAAATGATGTCAATACTGATACTCATTGATGCCGAGTCCCTTAAGAAATATTGGTCAAATAATACTAGCATTGAATTCCGTTCTTTCTAAAAGATATGAGCAGAAACAGATTTATGCAGATACTGCAGAGCTGACATTTTTCGAACAATAACGATATACCAATACCGATATACAATAACATAAATTAAAAAAATTTGTAAAAATTCAACCTTTTATAAATTATTTAAAAAAGAGATTTAATGAAGTATATAAATCTTCTTGAAGTTGTCATTAGACAAATGGATCATTTCATGGCGAGGAAATCTTTATTGAACGCTGTATAAAAATATATGGTACCACATTTATTGAGACAATTATTACATTAGTGTCAATATGATTGAAATTCTTCGATAAAACAAAATGTGATTGTATGAAAAATAGTCTTCGCTAATGTCTCAAAATAATAACTTTTTGAAGTAATTATACTGTATTTCATTAAAAAGAACAATATTTTGCTTCAAATAATGAAATAATAGTAAAGTGAATATGATTTCAACGATACATTTGACACGAATAATAGAAACCAGAAGTACAAATAGAAGATTAATTACATAAATATAAAAGCTTGATTAGATAATTAATTACAATAAGTATATGAAAGGAGTAGATCGTGTAGATCAATATATATTATACTAATTTTTAGAAAGTGGATCAAACGAGTTATGTTTTTTTATTATTTGTGCACATTTTAATTCATTCAAAGGGTACAAAATATTAAATGGAATGAAAACGACGTATACAAAATCCTTATATAAAGCAGCAATGTAGATAGCGAATTCATTATCAGTAAATTACGAATGTGACTAAATTACGAAGATTTACCTAACATATCAAATATAGGGAAAAGTAATATCGCTTTCTTAAATTAAATTCAAACGAATAAATTTTTAACAAGTTTTTATTTTTAATCACAATCAAATATCGACATGTGCAGAAACGACATTACTTTCTGGTCCACTTAATACTTCTAATCCTACGAGAATGGCACTCATATTCGATTATACATAAATTTATGAGAATAATGACTAATAGTTAAACTAAAACACTACAAACACAATATAGAATATATCAATGAAAAAAATAAAAAAATAAAAAAATAAGAAGCACAACATGCTACATTTATTTTAAGTATTCCGATATATAAATATAGTTAAATATTAAGTATTTAAATTTTACAGTATTCTGATATATAAATGTAGGGACCGATCAGATGCGTTCAAAGAACTTTTTTCAGTTCTACGCAATAGGATCTAAGCGCGATAAGCAAAAACGCGTGACTTTTTCTCATACTGCCCTATCTTAGGGCTTAGCGTAGCTTTAGGCGATGGCTGCGAAGGTCGCGAAAAAATAGTAGCGTACGAGCAAAACAGCGAGAACGATCAACGGGTCAGCGAATAGCGTGCGATCTTTATTGTTTTATTTTTATATCTAATAACACAAAATTGTTTTCCTCAGCATTGTGCTTTTGCCCATTAATAGAGTAAATCTAAACGTTTTTTCCTTACATACGAATGAAAATTACGAATGTTATCACGCTTTAAAAAAATATTTAAAAAATTTATTCTTTTTTGACGAGTTCTATTACGTTTAATGTATTATAGTATTAGTTTATAAGTATCGTATAGATATAATATTAACTTCGCCTTGTTACGAAAGTAACCTACCGATCCTAAGCCCGAATGAAGGAGGAGGATTTGGGGCAAGGGATCTGTCCTAGCCCAAGTAAAATTCAAATCTAGTGTCTTGGTTGTATCTGAATTGCGTCTGGAGGACTGGAAGTGTCTAGAGGTATAGCCAGATCACCTTGTCACCTTATCCACGGAGAAAAATACATGGATGGTCCTCCAAGTTGGAGGTTAATCGCGCGGCTAGCAACCCAACATTGGAAAAGTAACCCTGTTATGTAATCTGCAAGACAGCTTCGGATATTGAATGGAAAAAAATCTGGAATTGTTCAAGGACTAATCATTGGAAACTCGGAACATGAAATGTAAGGACAATGCTGCAAGCTGGTAAAATAGAAGAAATGGTTAAAGAAATTGAAAAATACAAGGTACATTTGATAACTCTACAAGACATCAGGTGGAAGGATAACGAAAAAATAAGCAAGTCAGAGTAATGGCAGAGAGAGAAAAGCTGTTATGTACGGAACTGGCTTTATCATAAATAAGCGAATAGAAAATTGTGTTCTTGGATTTAAATCAATAAATAGCAAAATGTGTTCACTACTAAAAGAAAAATTTTCAAATATTTCCTTGGTATCAGCATATACTCTCACAGAGGACAGCAGTGAAAACGTAAAGGATGTCTTCTATGAACAACTGTCTGAAGTATGTGAGGGAATAAAAAACTATGATACTCTCATTCTGTTGGAAGATTTTAATGCAAAAATTGGGAGACAACACATTGAAAACATTACATTGAAAAACAACACATTAAAAACATCGCAGTGAAATATTTCATCAAAGCCCAAAAGATGAGATAGCTTGTGCATTTAATAAGAATGGATGACTTAAGAAAACAAAATAGAATAATCAATGGTAACCCTAAAAATGTGAAAGCAAGAGATATACCAAGAACAAAATGGATAGATTGTGTATATATAATATATACATAAACTAAACATTAAAAATTGGAGAAGTACAGCACTAGACATAACAGAATGGTGGCACGTCGTGAAAAAGGCTAAATTTTGTTAAAGAAGGTAACGTCATAAGAAAAAAGAAAAGGAATAATATTAGTTTAGATTTGTAGTACAGTATAGATATTACAGTATAGATATTAGTAATTACAAAAGTCTCATTCTAGACGTCAATGCTAATCAAATAGTGTATATATAAATTCGGCGGGCTTAGTTTTCAAGTGAAACGGTGAGAACAACCATTCGGTAGATTTTTGTAAATAACGAAATGGCACAACAAAATCACATTAAAATGGAAATATGTAAAAATGGAAATTATATAATAAACATGAACGAGAAGGTAAATAACGTTAATAAAACAGGAGAGAATTCAATGAAAATAAACTAATGAACCGGCAAATGCAAAAAGATAACCGCAAATACTAGCACATATAAAGAATACTAGAATATAAAGAATATAAAGAATATAAAAATATATAGAACTATAAAGAATATAAGTAATACTAGGATCTCAAATAATGAATATTCCATTATAGCAAAAGTTGCTAAATCAAATAGAAGAAGACTAGTTTCAACTAATATAGAAATAGGATACTGAAAACGGTATAAACAAGTGGCTTGTAACTCCAACAATACAAGCAACAAACAGATACCAAGTACAAAACAAACTAGAAGAAAAGCCAAGGAAATCACTACCTATATTTGCTGAAGCGAATATTATCCAGCAATAATTTATAGACTGGATATTTATGTAAATGCATATTTTTATGAAAAACCGGATAAAACAATGGGACCAAGATATAAATACTTTTTATGATCAGGAAGTACTAAAATTACACTTTTTATTTTGCATTTTTTGCATAATGCATAGATCCTGCATATGTTATTCGTCTTATTTATATATATCTTATGTTCACGGTACTAACTTTTTGCTAAAATATTTTAATGTGTCATCTATTGGTAAATTTATTCCACATAGCAATCATTATAATAACATCCGAGAGTGATAAAGTATAATATGTACTAAATATAGACTACAATGAAGTAAGTTTTCATGACTTTGAATCACTTAATGAGCATTAGATAACTCAATGAGTATTAAATATTTAATTTAAAATTCGGTTAACGTTTCAAATTTGAATGATGAAATCAGTTTGATGCTATTAAAAATTCTGTCCATTGGTAAAGTGTTTTGATAAATACTAAAAACTCAATATAATAGAATATCATTAACACTAAACCGACCGTTCAAATGACTCCGTTTTAAAATTTTGATTAGAATTTTCTATACGCATACAACGTAATTGAACCACCTTTAAACTTCACGAATTTTTCTGAACAATATGTACAATAAATTTTTCAATATCCATTTCTTTTTTTATTATTTGTTTTCTACGAAAAATATGTAGTCTCTCTTATCTACTACAACCGATCATTTGACCATTGAAATGATTTATATCCTTTTATAATACTATCTTTTTTATAATAAGATTCAATTTTGAAACTATAAAATCGTTACATACGAAAAATGTTTGAATCCACCAATTTGTTGCATACGTTACCAATGATCATCGTTAAAATTTGCCTACGCAGGTTACTAATTACATTCTTACAGTTTACGAAAACGAATAAAATGTGAATTATTTACTTCTAAATAAGAGAAATTATATTTTTCACTATCAAATTGGCTATTATCTTTATTCTAAATGGAGAAATATAAGTTATTTTAAAATCGGTCATTTGACTGATCGCGGTAGGAATAGATATAGATAAAGTGTCGGTAGGTTTAGTGATAAATCATTGCAATGCTATTGTTGCTGGTGATATGGGGAAGATTATTTTATGTGAGAAAGTGCAAACTAAAAGTATATATTCAAATTAGATTTTTTGAAGAAAAGATAGACACGTTATACAGGAAAGATTTGAAGATTTTCAACCATCTCAAGTACACAAGCAGGTACAAAACATTATTTTGTTGACTATTGTAAGCTTTATATTTCCTTCTGTTACTATATAATTTATTATAATTAGACAGTAATCGAGCTTAGAACGTCTAGTTATTGTACACAAGAAATAGAACAACCGGTACCAATTTATATCCAATTCAAGAGGCCATCAGACGGTATGACAAGTGACCCATTATCATTTAAGATGTTATCATTAGATACAAGTATACTTGCTTTCTTGATTTATTGATCTTTCTGAAATTTTATTTCTTTGATTATAGTACATATGATAAAATGTTAACAACCGAGACTACTATGTTTCTCAATATAGTACCAAAGATGCCTTGTAATATCGATGAATATAATAATAATGATTTTGACATAAAAAAATAAATAATAAAATTTCCGCACTGAATAACTTCTATAATATAAAAATATTACAAATTCTTGGAATGAAAATACTAAAATTGATAAAAACAATGTAAAGAATGTTGAGAGTTTTACGAAAAATACTATTCATTACGAAAATAATGAAATATCAGTAGAGTCTAATAACATGATGAAAAGAAATATAAAAATAAATAAATGTTATTACTGGTAATGATACCAGTAGAGAAAATAATATATTTTCCAACAATTATACAGAAATAGTTGATAATCAATCAGAAATTATTCCTCAAGCAAAGTTACAATTAACATATAATATATAAATTTATAAAGTATTTAAATAAAATTTGTAAATAAACAATTTAAAAAAAACATAAGCAACTTTAAACATAAATCTGATTGTTTTGATTATATGAAAGTAGGAAAGTGGGTACTTTCAAAGAAAAAAAAAATATAACTGAGATTAAAAGCGAGATGGAAGATAGTAATAAATGATTAAACGATTTGATATCGCAAGTAGAAGAATTAGAAATTTACGCAGATACACATATAAAATTGTTTCAAGCTGCACTTGATCAAAATTTGATCAAATTTTGGTTTAAAATGTTTAGACGTAGTATTTCAAGTATAAATAGCATGAATTTCTTACATTAGAAAAGTAATGACATACCATCTTATGGGGCTGACTTGACAAGTCAAACACAATGTTCTTTATACTACCATAGCAACACATACAAGGGCATCTGAATTCAATGAAATGTCTTTTTATAATAGTTCTGTGAAAGGGGAAAAAATATTAACAGGAAGAAAAAGATCTTAATATTCGATAGAAAAATATTAACTGTCTATTTTGTTTCTTTTTCTTTTTTTTTTCGAAATGTGCTGCCATTGAAAGTGTTATATACCTTCTTCCTTATATTATAATCACATTAAAAATATTCAAACCATAGCAAAGATTATATTATATTATTGCGACATTATCGAATTTTATAGCATGAAATACTTTTACGAAACATTTCTGCTTTCAATGATGCTATAATATAATATTTTCATGCTATAATATAACTTTATCATCAAGCAAAACTTTTTAGAAAAATAGATCTAAAAGTTTTTTTTCAATCTGCACGTTACTAATTTGATGTCATTTGCCGCATTTGTTTGTGCAGTTTAAATACTTGCATATTCTTATTTTTATAAATAAAAAAGTCGTTTTATATATAATGTTTTAGACGCGGTTAGGTAATGACATAAATCGTTAATGCCTCCAATTAAACTTGTTATTTGTTATGAAAGAAAGTAAAAACCATATCTAATCGAGTTTTTTAGTCTGGTTGAAAATATTAAATTTGTCAAATTATTACTACTTAATATTTGAGCCGTTTATTTTGAAAGTGGCCTAAGTCCATTTATCTTCAAATTTAGATATTTAAGGGTTTGCGTTTCAATGAATTTAAGAATATACGTATAGGATACTAATGAGTCATACTGCTTAAGTGTATCTAAGGGTGTTAAGTTTACAGTTCCTATTAAAATAGTGGCAATTATTAAGTGAAGAATATGCGTTTTCTTATCAAGAATGGAGTTAGGCCACTTTCAAGATTAACAACCAGATTCATTATAAAATTTGAAGGTGCCTAAGTCCATTCAACATAATTTAAAATGCTTCAAATTGAAAAAAACAATACTAAATTTATTTTACATATCTTTAAAACATTTCGAAAACATAATTTATGCGATTCAAAACATTTTTTAACTACATATCGTACAAAATTACAAACATAAATTTATTACAAAACAATTTACTACTCATCTACATTTTGTGTGTGTGAAAGGGATTTGAAGAAATCATGATGTTCCGGTGGTATATATCCTAATAAGTCAATTATGTCCTTGGATTTTGCTGTTGTAATTTGTTTGATATTTTTATACAGTGGTGTCAATACAATATTTTCGAACTTTCTTGGTCTATCCCGACGTAGTAATAAATTCAGGACTTTCATTTTCATATTCATTCATTGATACTTTCATTTTCATTGATTGATATCTTATAGAAAATTTTATACAGTTTATTTTTGACAAAACGCATCCAACATATTTTTAACCAATTTATTGATTCTCCATCAGAATTCTTTACCCTTTTAAAAATTGCGTCTTCTAATAATTTTGTTGGTACAAAATCTTCTTGTCTCATTTCATTTACAATAAAGTTATTACCTTTCCGACACTTTTTAATAATCTTGTAATAATCTTGGGGAACGAACAGTAAATTATTTTTGTTTAATGACATTTCTATCACGCCAAAATCTCTATCATTTGGTAAAAATGAATGTCCTGATATTAAAAATTTGTAATCTATGATTTCCACATTATTTTCCAAAGTTTGGACAATTTTTAACCACATTAAAGCTACTTTAATGTTTCTATTAGGTTAGTGCGAATAAAATGTTGGATTCTTAAGTGAATATATTAAACTGCATAT